CCCCCCCTCGCGCCACGTACCTCCCCCCCTTGCACTCGCGAGAGATAACATCGTGACCGCCGGCCGGTCCAGGTATGTAGGTACGAGAGCCGCGAAGTGCAAACGAGCGCGATCGGCAGAAACGCCCGATCGGCCAAGGCCGCTTGAATAACCTCGCAATAATTCGACATCGGCAGCCGACGTCGCGAAGTCTGCTCGAGATCCCGCGATTCCTTTTTTCCTCTTACTTCTTTCTTAGAACGATCGATTTTCCTCGATATTCCGTTTACATAATTTACGTCAGTAAGTAAGTAGGTAAAAATTATTAGATAATTGTTGAATAACAATTGTCGAAGACAGAGCCAAGAGAATTTTTTTATAATCTTTATTTTATATACAAGGATATTGTCAACGAGGCTGTCGCTATAATTAAGCGTGAGGCACTTTCGCAATTGAGGCGATCATATACCATATTTCCCCGAGTGAGCGACTGTCGTTGGAAGTTCTTCGCGAGAAGGTCCCAAGGACAGAATTGAACTTATGCGTCACGTTTCGACGGCGTAGCGACTGAATCCCGGCGATTAGAGCGAAGGACGCCGCTTCCGGCGTCGCGCCGACTTCCGCGTCTGCCGGCATGGGATCGTCCGCGAGTTCCTCAGCGCCGGCGCTGAGGATGCGTCAGTGAGAACGGGAAGTCAACGAGATCAACGGCATCGCGTTCGCCGGAATGCCGAAAGGTAGCTCTCCAGGACGTAACGAAGGAGAACCGTTCCATGTATGTTGCGGTCTTAATCTCCCACCTCTTCTCGCTCCTGAACCTCCCGACACCACTCGCTCGCTCGTTTACGCCGCTCCTCGTGCACGCGGACCGATATATCAATGAGAACAATCGGCGGTTCTTTCCCGCGATTAAAAGGCAATTCCGAGACAAGCAGCGGCGAATCGGTCTTCTCTCAGACGCCCGACACAGCCTTTTCTCAGATTACGCCATTTACACGTAAAAAATAATTTTTATTCGTTTCATGCTTTTATATATCTTGCGTGTTCCTTTTCTCCGACTTTTTTTTAAATTCCTGAAGTCTCATTTGACGAGACGCTGGAGAAACGGTCAAATATTTAGGCTGAGACGCGCCAGACCGAGTCGGGTCCTGAGACCTTGAGTCCTTTCCCTCGTCCTTTCTTTGTAATCTCCACATCTACGTAATATCCACAGCTATTCGCCGGAGAGAATTTTTAGTGACTAATCAAATTGGCGTTTATTAGTCACGCGAAATGTTTTTGTGTGTCAGTCAGCTTACTCAGAATTTATTTAAACAGGAATTATAAAAAAGAATCCTAAAAAGAAGGAGTCCGCGAATTTTTAATGTCTCGTTTCTTTTCGTAATCGACAAATCGGGTGTTGAGACAGAATTATTCTCTCGTTGTCTCTATCGTAATCTTATTAGCATTATCGTAATCTCGAGGTAACGAATCTCCACGTCGACACAATAAATAATGACTTGCTTTAACAAAAGCGCTACGAGGCGGTATACGAGGAGGCGATGAAGAACTATGGTCATCCTCCCGTTCCTTCATCGCAGTTTATCCTCGTCGATATATTTCGTTCATCAATTATCCGTCGCGATCACGCCGTTGACAGCGCCTGCCGAATGACCCGTCCATTTTCCGGCACGCAAAATCGGTAATAACGTCGAGTCCTTCTCGCGTGCTGTTCCGCTCCGGCCGATCCCGTAATAGCTGCTATTTTTTACGTGCTCGCTTCTCGCGAGCGAAGTCATCGGAGGGAACGAACTTCATCGGAATGCTCGGATATCCATGCTCGCTTTCCGTGGCGAAGGAGGAAACTATCCTGCCTGCAAGGAACTATCCTGCCTGTACAAGAATCTCTCTCAGACTCGAACCTTCCTTCTCTCTGATGTATTTGAAATTTTCATTTTATATTTTTCCTCTACGATTTAAAAGAAAAAAAAAACCTTAACATAGAATTTGCGCACGAAGTGCCGAAACAAATTACTTAATGTGTCGACAATCTAATTAGACGTCCGCGAAACGTTTGAGAATAATTTTTCCTTCGATCTTTCGTCTAAACGTTTTCCGGAGGCTCTCGCGCTTTCTCGTCTCCTTCAGTGAAAATTCAATTCAGACTTAATACTCGCGATGCGAAATTCTTAATTATCCATTACGCGAACAGGCCTCTTGCTTTCCGTCAATTAGCCTGCCTCGCTACATCCTCGCCTGCAATTTGAGGAACAATATGCCGTATACGCGTATCTGTTCCTCCCGCGTCGCTTCCCACGTCGGAAACCCGACGCCTCAATAAGACCGTTCATCGATGTTCTCTCGACGTGTCACCGCGATGGGAAGATCGTTCTCGAGATGCATTCTCTTCACGCTTCCATTCCAATTGCGAATTACGCAACGCGCAGGTGGTTCCAATCCGCGATATTTTCACGCCGTTTGACTACACTCGCGTGACAGACTCGACGAGAAAGAGTTTCCCTCGCGTCAAGACGCGTCGCACTTGTCGCATCTTCTTCATACGTGAGAATTGTTCCTCGGATGCTTGAAATCAATATCGATATTCTCATCTAGTCAAGCCGTTGACATTAAATAAACGTTCCTAGTCGGCCGGGACGTTCGAGAGTCATCGATCAATTTTCGGGAGCCTCCGGCTGGCTCTCGCGACGGTGGCCGTTTCTCACGTCCGCGACTGAAGAGGGAGTTAATGATGAGATAATTACCGGTTGGTGGCTGTAGCGCGCCCATTGTTCGCCACCGATCCGGACGTACGCACGTTCCACCGACGGCGGTATCGCGACTTCGATGACTCATGAGCGCGCCATGCGCGGCGAATAGCGTACACGTCGGGATGGAAAGTACGTTTTAATGCCGGGCAAGAAATAAATCGAGGACCGGAATTCGCGCGGTTGCGAACTGCGATCTAATCCTCGTTATATCGGAAATGTAAATTCCCCCCTCCCTCCCCCCCCCGTATTTTTCCCCCCGGTCCGGCTTTTAATCGATCACGTGACTCACGGCGACGCGAATCGGTGCAGAAGTGTGGGAAAGAGATACCAATTAGCTCTCGAATTGATAATGAAAATGTAAGTAAAAAGATTTAAGAAATATAGATATTTTTTTCCGACGATATAAAGAATGTTTGTAAAATTATTTTTTATATTTTAAAAATTAATTTTCGTCAAAGAGAAGAGTTCATACTTTCTTTATCTCTTCTTTTTTATCTGTTCTGGCGACCGTTCTTAAAGCTTCTTCTAGTCGCGCGTCCTTCTGCCCCGCCAAGCGGAGGAGGAAGAGGAGGAGGAGAAGGAGGTGGTAGCAAAGAGGTCACGGTATGTAAGAGACGCGTATCGATGGTATCCTTCGAATTATGCGATTCGCAACATCCCGGCTTGTCGTGCACGATCGCGGGGATCGATAGCGAGTCAAAGAAATGTACACTGCTGCCTCCTCCTCCTCCTCCTCCTCCTCCTCCTCCTACTCCTTTCCCTTCTGCATTTGCCGCCTCCACACCGTGCCACGTCAGGCTCTTCTTCTGATCCACTCGTTACGTGTTTATTTTGCAATTATTACGTTCTCTGGCACGCCGACATACGTCATCGTCGATTAACGGATGCCGGAATTGTGCAAAGAGACAAGCGTCTAACACGGCGAAAGCCACCGAAGAACCTGGCGAACGTGTTTGCGAATGTATTTATCAAAGTGTACCTCGTGCTCCAGTGGCATGCTTCCGGTGAAATATGGAAGTTTCGCTATTACTAAATCCGTTCGATATCTCTCGTTATTACCAAAAATACGATTTCAACGAACATGCTCTGATTCACATCCGTATCGTTTTCTTTTTTTTCCGTATTCTACTTGAGATCTCGAATTATAACGATTGATATTGAGCGAAGAAACGTCGTGTAACTTCTTATTTTTTTTTTTTTTTTTTTTTTTTTTTTAATTTTAAAGTCCAGCACGGAGCGAGAACGGTGAGAGAAACTGTTTTTGTTCATTTGGAAATCGCGACGCGATGCGATCAAATTTTAATTCGATATGTATCTGATATTGCAAATCGTGGCGTTGCGCAATTACGAGTAAAACGCATTGTGACACGGCAAGGTTACGGCACTCGTAAGAATCTTCCTCCTGCAAGTCGATTCCTCGTGTATAACTGAAGAATCCATCTTCACATGAGCCATTTCCCACGCGACTTCGCGAACGGCGGGCTGATTAACATGCGACCGCGCCGACAGCAACTCGCACGTGAACGTTTCCACTTTTCACTTTTCACCTTTTCGCGTCTCTCACACGAGGCTCTCTTCTAGTCAAATATTCTTGCACGTGCTCGCGTGCCCGAAAAGGAAAAAAAAACATTCCCTCGTACTCGAGGACGATTTCGGCAAACTCATGTGAAGATTCTCACTTCTTATCGTTCCCTAACACGCGAAACTTTCACTGTTTATCTTCTCGCTTCTGCGAGGAGATTACGTGATCGATGCCTCCCGAACGGAGGTAGGATAAGTCACGTATGCGATAAGATAAATCTTACAGAAGTTACGAACTTGGCTTCTCGATCATCTTAATCTTCCTTGATTACCGCGGATATTTCGCTCCGCAGGTGGGCCGATAATATTGCGTATTCTATTCGCGTCTAACTAATCTAACTAATCTCTAACGTGAGAATCGGACAATGGGCGCGTTGGATACGCGCCTTCTCGAATCCGGATTTATATCTCGAGAAAAGTGCGGCCGTGGCTGCCGGCCGCGATCTCCGCGAACGGCGATCGAGATCGAGGATCGATCATAAATAACAAAGTTCATCGCTCGGCTTTCAGATCGGTCTCGCCGAAGCGAGTAGGAGCGAATTGGGCTCGCCCATGCCGGGCAAAACGGGAGAACTCGAGAGCAACAGCAACAGCAACGGCAGCAGCAGCAGCAGCAGCAGCAGCAGGTGGAGAGGAAATCTCGGGAGAGGAAAAATCGTCGCGGATAGAAAACGCGGAAGCGTGACGTCGTGAAGGACGTTGCATCTCCATTTGCCAGCGACTGTATAATTTCTCTCGCGAAAATGCATTCATACGGGAGAATGTCACGGAAAACGGGACATTCGATGCTCCTTGCGTCGCCCCTGACGCTGCTGATGATGATGATGATGATGATGATGATGATGATGGCGATGACGTCCTGGCGAACTGCATACGCTCACGTGGCTTTGACATTCCCGAGGGCCAGGCACTACGATCTGGATTTCCTGGACAACGCCAGAACGCCAGCACCATGCGGCATGCCTCGTGGTGAGTTTTATTATTATTGTTATTATTATTGTTTCTTATTAATCGCGTGCAGATTTCAAGTGTTCGTTTTCATCTTGGCGTTCTTCGGTGGTTAATTTTTAATTAGGTCTCTCCTTCAGTGAGGAAATGGATGTTTAATGAAACAGTGAAGACATCGACGAAAACTAATACAGCGAACGGTTATAAAACACTGACAGAAATGTCAGAATCGAGTATCCAGGCTTAAGAATTAATTGAATATGTACATCGGTATTTCGTATCGTTATTTAACAAATGTCGTCGTTAACCTCGCGAGACTGTAACATGCTTCGAGCGCGAGAAAAAGATGTATTGAAATTAAAATGTGTTGAAACCGTTGTATGCATTTCTTAATCTACAAACTGTGGTTTATTCTGAACTCAATTTTTAACAACAAAGGTGTCTCTAAAGTAAAGGCTTAGAAATCACTGATTAAAAGGCCACATTTAAGACATTTTTATCGATAAAAATGAGTTCAGGACGATTTTGGGCCATTTTCTTTTCAATCAAAAAAATACCTATTAAAATTTATTAACATATTAAAAGTACAAGTATTATATTTCTGAAAAGCGGATATAATGAATTAAAAAGAGATCTGTGAGAGCTCCATTTTTAGAAAGCTAAATATACTTAAAAAATATCACGGAATATTAACAGCCTCAAGCTTACTTTTGCGGAATATATCTTGACGGAACGTCGGAATCGCGCTGCGGGAGGAGGGAGGGGGGGAGTAATACATACATAGGGATTTGAATTCCGCTCGCGTCATGCTCGCGAGCATGTCGCGTTTTTCCGGAAACCGAACGACGAAGACTCTTCTCGCGCGAGAGTCGCGCGCTCGTCTCCAACACCTCGGTGGAGCGGCGCAGGGAGAGGAAAGGGAGAGGAAGGGTTGAATGCATGGGGCGACGGCGCCGCGCAGGGGGCACGGGTTTTCTATGGGAAAACGACATTAACGCTCGATCTCCCTCTCCCGGTGGGGGATACAGCCCGCCGACGTCGCCGCCAGTCGGTCCGATTCGAAGCGACTTTCACCGACTTGCATGAAGGGAGCGCGAGCCTCTCGGTACTCGCGGGCATTACCTTTCATGTTTTACGCGTACCTAACCGCCGATACTCACTCCAGGGCCGCATCTACGCGGAGGGGAAGGTGGGATCAGCGCGAAGCGCCGGTCTCACGGGAAGCCGGGAGGATCCGACCTTCCTCCTCCTCTCCGGAGAAAAAATTTCAAGACAAAACGCACACGAGATATAGATGTGAAAGTGGCATCGATAATCGATTGGACATTTAATCTCCGAAAAGTTAAGGAAAAAGAAGACTAATTGGGGGGAGGTTCGTGGTTCGTGGTTCTATTTTCTTTTTCTCGTGCAGCGAGAGAGTGCAAAGAAGAAAAGAGAACTCCCGGATCCGATGGCGAACTCAGCGGGGTGAAAAGTTGAGAAAAAGGAGCTCGTAACTACACGTTTGGCGTTTTTCCACATTGTTGCGTCGCAGACGCGAGGCCGTTGCAATTACCTTGCTCGGTGTCATCGGCCCACCTCCTCTCCCTCATTTTTCCTTGCGAAAGCGTAATTAAGACCACGCCGTAGATGGCACTGCGCGGGGTTACATAAGCGACAGAGAGAAAAGAGAGATATCATTATTCTCTCCCGTGTGGGTAACGCGAAATTATTCGTCGGCCCGACGCGAAAGGAGGCGACGAGTCCTCTTCTTCTTCTTTTTCTTCTTCTTCTTCTCGGGGGCTTCTCTCCGAGTGCGCGCCGAGTTCGCCGCTCTCATTTATCCTACTCCTCTCTCATTATCGGGGCGGTGATTAATTTGTACCACGCTAGCTTATTCTCTCACGCGTCGCACGAAATTGCGAAAAAGTCGCGTAACCGGTCGTGGAAAATTGCAGCGCGAACGCGCGTCACGCTACATAAGTGCGTGCGGTTGCGTAGTGACATTTACGTCGACTATAATTGACGAATTAAAAGATTGCGATTGTATCTATCTCTCATTTGCCGACGTCGCTCGATTACGCGATCCAATTATGTATCATTATATTTCTTTCCAATACTCAGTCCCTTGTCACTCGACGAATCAATCGAGGAATCCGCGATGTGAGATGGAAACAAAAAATATCTTCTATTTAATATCTATTTAATATCACATTTGTTCAATTTCCACCTTTATTATATTATAATTCTCGAGCGAAACAATATTACTCATAATATGTTTACATTTCCCGGAAAAATTTCTGAAAATCACGAGCGTTTTTTTCACCGGATTTTTATTAACCGCTATCTGTCTTCGCTTCAATTTTAGCTCGGTTAAGGAATAGATTGCGATGACTAAAACTAGCCGCAGTTTGACTTGACTGCCTCCACGATTGCGCTAACGCATACCGGCTGCGGCAATAAATTTTTCTTTCCGCGGTTGTAATTTAATCGAGCCGCTCCGACGGCTCCGCTCGGTCAGTGGAAGAGAAGAACCGCTTTCCTTCCGGAGACGCTTGGGGAAGCGGAAGGGACCGGTATTACTGGTAATACCGGAAAAGTTGATTAAAAGTACCGAGGGGGGGGAGGGGGGTAATCAGCTATTTGCATTTATATTAAATTAATGCATAAATTTCGCGCGTTCGGCACGTCCTACGGTACGGAGACCTACGGTCTCCTTTTCCCAAAGCAATTATCATAAAAGAAAGTAGAAAAATAATTATGTGGAGCATTTTGCGATTGTGACCGCACTGGAAAATATCTGTCACGTTGCCGGCTCACCTTCGTCCCTCGGAGATCTAAAGATCAAATTCGGTATATGTATTTTCCGCTTCGTCAAATCTTCGAGAGACGGGTCCGCGTGATATAAAATATTCGTTCGCTCACATTCGTGACCCGTTTTACGTGATTCTTTTTTAAAAGCCGAGGTGAAACTTCACGAGTCCGGGTCCGCAATTGGGTACATCGCTCGTTCCGAAGTCTCGCTTCGTTCGAGAGGCTCGAAGGAATGCTCGGTGGAAGGCAGAATGTAAATTAATAGGCGAGAAGTGTCCCGCGATGGACATTCCATTCGGAGTGCCACCGGATCGTCGACGTATCGGCGTTAACGTTTACGTGACCTCCGGAACAGGTTGCGATAGGAACGAGCGAGCCGAAACGAACGAGGCCAGAATCGAAATCCTTGCCGCGACTTTTTAAACGGCGACGAATTTTCAGAATTAATCGCCGATAGCGCGGAACGCAAAAACAATTTGTCATTGTCCGACATCGCACTTCACTCACTGGGATTGTCGCAGTCTAAGTTTGATATTTCAACGTTGTTTTTCAGGTCACGTCAAGACGTCGTTGCTGGCAGGAAGCAATTTCAACGTCACGTGGCACCTCGCCTATCCCCACAGGGTAAGCAAAGCTCTCGCAAGTCTTTTGCGATATTCTTTTTTTTTTTATTGCGTTATTTTTATTGCACGATCTACAAGACAAGTAAGAGCCAGATAATATCAGGACTGCCAGGAATTTCACCGGCAGAACGAAAAGAAATCCGGCGAGTTTTTGGTATTCGGAAAAATAATAAGTGAGCATAACGGTAATTTCTTGAATATATTCAAAATAAGATTCGAAAAATGTTATCTCTTTGAATATTTTATGATGCCGACATTCTTTTACCATTCTCGCGCAACGTTCATCGTGCGCGATGTATGTCTACTTTTCTTTTGCGGTATTGAAATCTCCATTCTAATTTTATGACACCGAGATTCGCACGGGGAATTCCTATTTTCTTTGTCTTTTCTTTTTTTTATTTTGCACTTTTCTGCGGTAATACCGAGTTAACTTAATGATGCATTATTCATCGCATTATGCGTGCTCGCTCGGTAGGAGGAACTAAGACGGAGGAACCCGTTTCTTGAATGAATCGCTGTATCTTCTTACGTGTCGTATGCCGCGTTACACGAAATACGTCTCACTTGGATTTCCTTCACGCGAATTGACGAAGGAGAAAGGAAAACAAACGGCCGATCGCCATCGCCGTCGGCGTTAAATCACGCCGTGCGTTCACACATCCGCGCTTCGAGGCAATCAGCGGCTGCTTAAAAATCGGTATCAGCGGTTACGTGAAGACAGGATAAAATCGCGAACCGTGCGTTTTGTTATTTCGCATCGGGACCACTTTCTCCGTAGCGCCGACCACTTCCTCGGGCTCGGCGTCCCCGGCATAAAACGCGTTCGGCATAATGGAGCATTCTTCGTGAGCCGTTGGTATCCACGTATGTGGCACTGAGATTTCTCACTCTCTCTCTCTCTCTTCTTTTTAACCTTCTATATCGCGGTAATTAACCCTTTTACGCAGCGCTCGCGCATTGCACAGTAGACCGTAATGACCGGCCGAATGTTTCCAAGGCGTGTACGCCTTCCTGAACGGTTAAAATTAAAATAGACATACGTAGGAAAAACTTTTATTTTCTATCCTTTATTGTGTGTTGAAAATTGTAAACCGATGTGGAATCGTACGCTTTGCGTCGCAAAGTACATGTGTGTAAGGGAAGACTTTTCCCTCCCCCTCCCGCTCCTCCGCGCCGTCAGATTCTTTTATTTTGAGTGAAACCGCGTCGATTGAATCCAATTTTATCAAAATCGGAGGTAAGAAGGTATTCTAAATAATTACTTTATATTTTATAATTACCTTAAATTCTAATTATTTATAATAATTATAGATATATAAAAATTTATAATTAAAAATAGATTTAAATCCAGATAAATTGAATTCTAATTATTTCTCGATTACGTATGCAATCCTTATCGGACGCACGATTCCTTGCGGTCATCGAAGTCATGACCGAAAAGGAGAAAGCTTTACGAGCCTCCGGAGAAAGTATTAACCGAACATGAAGCGTGAGATTAACGAGACGCAGCGAATTATCAAAACTTTAGGGGACCGTAAACGATGACTCTTATTCTGTTAAAATCAATTCTCGCCATTTCCCGCCAACTGCGGGAGCAAAAGAGAGGGACAGGTTTATGAGCTTCTCCGAAAGCATTGTCGGAGAGCGAAGCCTCGAGAATTGCCGGAGATATCGCGTTCCGTTATCACAGAATTATACTGGACCGTAAACGAAATAACGTTCCCCTTTATTAAAATCTGAGAGAGAAACCTTTACGAGCTCTCGCAGAAAGTGCTTTCGCACACTGCGAAGAGTCGGATCACACGTTATCAGATTGTAGAAAAAACGTCTATTTACCAAACTCGATTTTTACAAACTTCTCAAACGAGGAAAAAACATTTCTCGGGCCTTCTTCTCATCTTTGCATAACATAATGACTCCATATCAACTCGACACGTCACACCGATAATTAAATCTGCCTTCTATCCAACGTCACCATTCTCAGCTCGAGATAATGACAGACTTTTATTTTACGGTTTCCTCGCCCCTTCCCCCCCCGGGCCGCGGTAAAAGCTTGCCAAGTATCGTCAAATATAATAATAACAACAACAACAACAGCCTTCTCATTGTTCATTAAATGCATCGTCAGGCAGGACGAGGAAACGCTCGTCCGACGTGCTCGTCGTGCATCGACGATAACGTCGTGAATCGCCGGTCGGTCGGTTCGTATTCAGCGTGTAACGAGCACTCGACGTCTCGTCGGCGTGCACAGGACATTACGAATTTGTCCGCACGTGGTTCTGCGAAAAGGAGAGGAGTACCACAACGACGACGACGACGACGACGACGACGATGACGACGACGACGTGCCGAGTGCCGAGTGCCGAAGAGGCCTCTCCTCTGCCTACGCGCGCTCATCGCTCAAGGTGACGCGCGCTGAATTATTCACGAGTGTGGTCTCCTCGTAGATCTACGAGTAGGACGAATAGAGGCGGCGAGGCGGGGAAGCGAGGTGAGGCAAGGCAAGGTAGGCAGAAGCGAGCAGCCTCGCACACGTAGACGCGACGCCTGGAGCGCCTCCGAGGTGGAACAGATCGGTATGCCGGGTACCGTAACTCGAACGTCGCCGATGACGATCGCTCGAGCGAGAAAAGGCGTCGTATCTCGCCTTCGGCTAAACGGTGCAAAAGCCGCGATTGTCCTGCCCGGCGAAGCGTGTGTGGCGAAAAGCGAGCGAGCGAGCGAGCATTCGCGTGCGACGCCTCGTTCTCCAAACGATTTTGCGTCCTTGCGACACGATTACCGCGACGATATTTGCGTTTTTTTTTTTTTTTTTTTTTTTTAATTATGTTTTCTTTACATTTACATTTTTCCAAGAGCCGTCGCCGGCTCTTGGATAAATGTAAGAGCAAAGCACCGCGTTCCCTTTTCTAAAAATTACTGCATTATCCATTAAGGCATTCTAAAGATACGCATAATAGTAGAAATAAATAAAAATGGGAAAGATTTCATATTAATTCTTCATATTTTTTAGCAAACATATAAGGCTCATTAAAAATCTGTCCAAATTAATACAAAAAAAAAATTGGGTTGTGATTTTGGAAATGTAGAAGAAAAATATTTAAAAATCACCTCATCTCTCCTTTTTTTTCTCTTTCATTAAAACACAATCTAGACTTAGAACAATCGCCGCAGTTTAAAGCGGAAGAGGAGCTAGTCGTTTCCAATTTTGCAAGATCCTTCTCGCGAGCCAGCGAGAAGGTACACCCGCAATAAGTATCCGCGCGGATTGCGTTACGACGGGCACAGGTTTGAAATCTCGGCATGGCGGCCTGGAATCCCCTGCCCCTGCTCTTCGCCAATGTGAAAATATCCGCGGCACGAGAAAAATTCGACAATAACAACCGTGCCTGCCGAGAGTGCAGGTGTGTTCGCCGTGCGAAGCGGTACCACGTAGCCGCGACTCTTCGTCGCTTCCCTTTCTCTCCTTCGCGGCGACCTCCATCGATGGAGGGGAGGGGAGGGGGGAACCATCGCGACAGCCGCCACCGGTTTTTCGTTCACCGCCGTGTCTTTTGCATCCACGCGAACGCCTATCGCACCGTAGGTGTCACGAGATATTCAGAAAACAAATACCAAATTCAATGACCAGGACGATTCATCCCGCAGAAAAACGCAGATCGTAAAACAAAAATTCTGAGTCCGAATGTTTTTTGCTTCATAGAAATAAAAATTCGGAGAGATCAATGAAATTTTATTGAACGAGAAGCACGATGAATGAACGCGACGACCATTGATTTTTTTCAAAACCTTAAAAATATAAAATAAAAAAAATGCACTATGTGAAGGGATAATTCGAATAACGTCGGGGCTGAGGATCATCAGGGTCGGTCGGTGTCTACAGTCGCGAATTGCCAATTCCGAAACGCGAATTACACGTTGCGAATTACACCTCGATTAAGTTACGATAGTATTCGCGGCTGTTAATCGCGTCGCGATAATCCTTATGTGTGGCCTACGCTTCCTACGGACGGCGGGGATGACGGGGACGACGGATGTTACTCAATAGCGCATATGAACTTGCATACGGTGCCAGGCCAACTTTCCTAACGGTGCTCGGGACGCGTTTATGAAGAATCTCACGGTGTCGCAACTGATGGCGCATATCAATCGGTAGACCGCTCATTAAAACCTGCTGTCATTACATCCGCGAGTTCAGGGATCGGGAGGGTGCGAAGAGGAGGGGGAGTCCGCGACTCGTCGTATGCGCGTGATCTCTGAATTTGGGGCACGTTTCATAAACCAAGCCAAGTGGGTGTGTCGCAAGCGCGTGATTGCGAGTTCGCGCGGGTAAACGTTAACAGAAATAATATGACCGAGAAGCGCCTGCCACATGTTCGCGCGAGTTGCAACTCCATTTATCGCTATTCTCGCCGTAAACGCAAATTCGGAAATTATTATTATGATTTTTAGTTCAGTCATGAGGTGGAAAAAATATATCTACTTACTCGGAATGAATTAGTCATCCTGAATTATGATTGGAATTTTAAGATAAAAATCTTTACTTACTTGGACGGCGAGGAATGACTAATCGTAAAATAATTATGCAGTTAATTAATACAACTAGTTAATATATTTGTTGATATAATATATTTGTTGATATGTCGATGAGTGACCGTAATAGCATTAGTTGTGCCAGTAAACTCAAAGCGGGGAAATTCTGATCCGTTATTGTTGATTTATTGAGTATAGCGTAGCCAATTGATGGCGACGGAACGAATCATCCGCGATGTTTCTTGCAACTCGGCGAGATTATTAGAGAAAAAAATCGAGAAATCAGACGACCGGAATACGCTTGCATCAATTCCGCCTATTGGCTGGTATCGAAGCCGCTCTACCGCGTTGCCTCGTTTCGATGATGTGTCACTTATTGCGGAACTCGAGAAAAAGCCATAAATTTAACGGAATGGCATGAATGAGCAAAACATAAATGGATGGATGAACGGACATTCAGTTCGTTCGTGAAGCGCATTTTTCATTTCCTGCACGAGCGATATAAATTTATTCAAAAATCCTATTGCATTTTTAATGTTAAATAAGCAATTAAGGCTTAGAATTTTAATCGATATATACGAATAAATAGAATATTTAAATATATGTATTTTTAATGTAAACAAATACCTTCTTTCCCCCCTTTCACGTGCGCGTTTCTCCAACTTTCAGGGAGGATTCCGTCTTCAGATCTTAGATTTTTACGATAGACCTCTGATTGATCTGACGCCCATTACACAAAACAGCGAGTTCGTCGAGGACGATGCTACGTAAGTGGATGACATAACAACATATTCTCTTCCTGGTTACTCGATCGAGTCTAACATTGTTCATCAATTTTCAGGGCGCAAAGTTACGCCGTGCAGCTGCCGCAAGATTTCACCTGCACGGACTGCACCATCAGACTGCTGCGCGAAGCCGAGGAATGGGGCTCCAGCTACAGATTTTGGTCGTGTGCCGACATCGACGTGAGTTTCTCGTGATTTCTCTTGGAAAATGCAGCTTCTAACCCGATTAACCGCAGCAAAGATAATTTAATCGACGAGTGAAATGACGAGGAATATCGACGCGATTAAATTGCAGTAGCAAGTTACATCTCATCGCGTCATCAACGGATATCTCATTCGATTATTAAATCAAAACTGCGACGAGGAGAAAATTTTTTAAGAAAACAGATTTAAAAAGATTCTTAACGTATTTATATACATTAATAATTTTCCAGAATTGATCCATAATTCCGTATCATCGTAATCGTACGATCGCCGTATTGAATTTTGCGAGCCTCGTTTTTGTCCCTCCTGCGTCGATTCGTACGAATTCATGTCCCGGCGATTATCCCCGCGGGAGTTAACAACGTCGATTTTCGATGCGGGAACTTTTTCTTCTCCTTCCTCCCCGCGAGTTTCCTCACGAGTGATTCGCAATCTTTTTGCCGACAGATCCGCGATAAAAAGGACTACCGGGAGGACTGCAGCGGTCACGGGCGTTACTTGCTGGGCAGGTGCAGGTGCGACCGTCTCTATCACGGCACGAGGTGCGAATTTAAGGAGGAATGCCTGGACAACTCGGATTGCGGTGTTCAGGGCACGTGCATCGACAATGATGGCACGACCGCGCCTACCAAGCAATGCTACTGCAACGCCGGCTGGTTCGGTCCGGGTTGCGCGAAGAGTAAGTTTCCCTTCGACAATTTCTCGCGCGTCATTGGGTCGCGACGATCGCTCTTGGGATATTCACGCCGAACCGGTGGTTCCGCCTCTCGATTACGAGATGAGACCGAAACAAAAAGGAGAAATAAACAATGCATAGATATAAGCCGAGTATACGTTAACTAACAAACTACAACGAGAAGCACGGCCTGCATGCGTTCTTCGATTTTCAGGATCAGCGGTAAAGAGCATCGATGTAAATCTGGATGCGTACACGATGAAGCGGTTCTCGGACGATGTCATATTCTATTGGCGGATCCTAAAGGAAAGCAAAGAGTTAGAAGGTATTCTTATGGCCAACTCCACGACGTGGATCGGTATTGGATGGAGACCCAGCGATCTCGGTCCAAGCTGCCGATCCTTCCCTATGATCAAGGACATCCCGGAACCGCTTCCGCAGCCGGAACCAAAATCAGAGCAGGTCAATAAATCGACGCCTAAGCCGGAACCAGAGCCGAAAGCGGAACCGGAACCGGAGCCAGAACCAGAACCTGAGCCGGAGCCTGAGCTCGGCCTGGAAGGCGAAAAATCGATAGCGAAGAGGCGATCGGCGAAGGCGGACGCCACACATTTCGGCGTGACATCGGGACCGGATGTCGACGTCACCGTGCAGACCAGCGTAACATATCAAGTCAGCACGAAGCAAGGTAGGATCTCTTAATCATCTTATATCGCGTCATTATTTCCCGGAAAGAAAGTATTTGTCGATATTGCAAAATATTTATTGTCACGGAGCATCTCAGGAAGTTGCATAGACGTTACGCTGCAACGGTTGCTTTTACGTTTTCCTTGATATTCACGTCGTTTCCTGCGGCAGTTCTTGTACGAAAACCTTATTTACAAAGTGGATGTTTAAATGTTCCTGTATCAGGAAAAAATATTCAGCAGAATATGCGTGATATGCATTTCATAAGCGTTCTTATTCATTTCTTATTTGTTGCGCATAAGTAAATAGTTATTAACACGTTATCATTGCTAGTTAATGTATTCCGATGTGTTACACTTGATTCGCAATCAGAGTTCAAGGAGTTTGTAATTACACGAACGTCAATCATAAAAAATGACAATGCAAACAAAAACAGTTCGCGTTTGAATAATGACACGTTACGCGCAACGAGCGTCGGAAGACATGAACGAATGAACATCACAAATATTATACATACTCTTATTACTTTTATATTTAACATTAACTTATTTTTCAATATATTGAAACTTTCATAAACGTTATGTAATATTACGACGTTTTATAAAGCTAATATTTTTTTCTTTTCATTTATCTCGATTTGATGTTAGTCGCAACTGTCGTAAAAAGTTGTATGTTGTGTTACCGGTTTTATTAGAAGAAAAACAAAAATAATTTATAACGTGAGTTTAGCAATCTAATATTTTTTGCGATCTTTAATTGATAACTCATTTTTTCATATAGGCCGCAAGAGAAGATCTCCAAAGGCAGATGTGGCCTCCGCTATTGGTATGTATCATGTATTCATGTCCGGAACAGCTCCGATGAGTCGCTCGCTTGCTCGGGAACTTAATAGCAATATGTAGATTTACCCAAGAAATCCCAGTAGTCTTTGTAACAATAGCCTCCTTTCGAGACACGACGCACGAGGTGATGGCCCCGATAAGTAGGTAGCTCGCACGACGTACGATGCTTTGTTGCACAGGGAAACAGGTCGGCGAGTCCAGCGCTGTCGTCGGGCAAGAATCAAAATCCGAGTCAGTACCTACCTCCGAGCCAGAACCAAAATCCGAGCCTGAACCCAGCTCTGAGCCAGAGCCGAAATCCGAACCTGAACCCAGCTCCGAGCCAGAGCCGAAATCCGAGCCTGAATCCAGCTCTGAACCGGCACCAAAATCCGAGCCTGAACCCAGTTCTGAGCCGACATCAAAATCCGAGTCTGAACCCAGCTCTGAGCCGGAACCAAAATCCGAACCAGAACCCAGCTCCGAGCCAGAGCCGAAATCTGAGCCAGAACCCATCTCTGAACCGGAACCAAAGTCCGAGCCAGAACCTAGTTCTGAACCGGTGCCAAAATCCGAACCAGAACCAAAATCCGAGCCAGAGCCAAAATCCGAGCCAGAACCAAGTTCTGAGCCGGAACCAAAATCCGAGCCAGAACCCAGTTCTGAGCCGGAACCAAAGTCTGAACCGGAACCTAAATCTGAACCAGAACCCAACTCGGAACCGGAGCTCAACGTGGGTCCAAAGTCGGGAGCAACGAAAGGTAACCGAGGACCGATTTAACGCTTACTTCCGCACATATCGCCACGCTGTCATGTCATTAACTCTTGAGCTACCAGAGATTTTTCGCTTCCTAACTTTCAATTATTTAACATTTGTCATTTCCAACGAAACACATTCGAAAAATTCCAATAATTCCGATAGCTATACGAGCACATTACGTTGATGAAAAGAAATTTAACGAAAAAAATATATAAAATCTCTCGTAGTTGTAGGACATCTCGAACAACAATCAGTAGTACGCACATCGCTCATTACTTTCGATATTCGCGACTTTCACGATAATCGTATGACCGCCGGTAAAAGTTTGCACGACTGGAACGTGAGGATCGCAACGGCAAATATTTGGCGTGAAAGCGTATTTAGCGTGCTGATAAGACGCGAGAGCGATCTCTATCCCGTTCGCCGGATGCCGGCGTCGATCGCAAAATGTTAATGCAACTGTCCTGACCTCGCACAAATTCCCGTCGATTTAATTTCGCCAAATTGCGTCTTTAACGCAAGCAGGGAAGAGTAAACAATCGTATGTAGAGATAACGTCGATAACGCTTACGCTTCACGTCCCCGTCGCTATAACCACGCTCAACCAACGGCGAAATTTGATATTTCTCCTGTAAATACCGATAACTTCCGGGCCGCATGCATTACTTCGACACGAATATTGCACGTGTCTCGATCTCCACCCGTCACGATCACTCTCACGACATCGTAGGACACCATTTAATCCACCGCATTACCATAACATCGACTCATCTCATGCGGACGAATAATTCGATTTTATGTCAACTGAAATGCACTCAACGGGAACGTACATAATTTTAAGTGTGTATAAAATATTTTAATCAACAGGAGGGCTGAAAAGGTTTAACTTTTAATATATTAAAAAAAAAAAAAAACATTGATACAAAATCTTAGTTTCCTCTCGTGGCATTGGTATAGAAGACGAGTCACGAGGGTTGTGAGAAATTTGAGGGACGAAAAAAAATGGTATAGAACGCATTTCAGTTTCCACCGTTCGATTTCATCTTAGACATTCTACATGACAAATCCGCAGCGAGCGTTTCCTCGCTTTGTGCTAATTGAACATTTCTATCTACGAAGCATCGTTACCGGCGCCGGGGCACAAGTACGCGCCCAAGCACGACTTCAACCCCATGGACTGCACGGACATTATAATCGGCACCGCGCGAGGGGCGAGTTACAGGATAGGCGATTATTACACGAGGGACAGGTCGACGCCGCGCAAGGACGCCTACTGGGACGGCCGGGACAGCCTGACCGCCGCGTTCGGCTACGAACGCGACGGCGTCACGACGATGCTCTTCCGCAGGAAGCTGGCCGCGAGCGAGCCGACCGATCACGAGATCCGCGACGGGAACATGCAGGTGATTTGGGCGAAAGGTCAAGAGCCGGGCAGGTACGTGCATCAGCCGGCTAGCGGGATCGAAAAGGCCAAGGTCGGCGTCAAAGACTTCTACAAGGTCGACGAGCTCAAATATCACGGCCACGGAATGCAGAGAGGCGCGGTCACGATGAATTTCTTCGGTGAGGTCATCCGTTCAGCCTCTGCCGCGTTTATCCCGAGACTATCGAGGTGCCTCGCGCGCACCTCTAGCCGCTTGGCATTAAAATTCGCAGATCGAATAACGAATATCCGACTCGGCGGATATTCTAGCTCATTTCCTTCTGGATATTTCATATTTTATTCTTCTTCTTTTTCTCGATTATAAATTGTTGAGAATTATTATCATAAGTAACTTTTATTGCGCGGAAAAAACATTCTGTTATTAATTCTGTCAAGATACTTTTGTTTTCTAATATGCGCATTTCAGATTTATTTGGCGCAAATTTAATAATAGCTTCGGACATTTCAGACGAAGCTAAAAAGCCGGAATTCGCCGGCGGTGTAGCGTTGGAAGATGGAAGCTGCGGTGGTCAATGGCGTTATCCGAGAAATTGCTCGCCGGAAAATGGTACCTGCGAATATGCCATACAATGGACGTACAAGGGTAAAAAGGTATTTGTCTCGTGTTCTCTTCCCTTTTCATGCAAGAATAGACAAAGCCGCTTTGACGAAAATGATATTACGAAAACTTTCCTCCGTAGGATTTGATAACGTTCGTAATTTCCACGACAAACATCAATACGTGGACAGGAGTTGGATTTTCCGACGACAGTAGTATGGTAAGAGTTTGTTTTAGTTCAACCTGAGCCGCGACTTGAGTCTAAAAGCTGAAGCTAAGAGAAAGCCGCCGCTTAAATGGACCGTCTCAGCTTTCCTCTCCACAAAAGTCGGAGTTTAGAAAATTTTCAAATAATAATAATGTCGGACGTGTTTTCCTTTAGTCGCAAACTGATGCCGTGCTCGGTTGGGTCGACAAGACGAACGGCCGTGCTTTCGTGATGGACACCTGGATCAGCGGCTACAACGCACCATTATTAGATCCGTCGCAGGATGTCTATAACATCAGCGGTCGTATCGAGAACGGCATGACTACTCTCCGATTCTCAAGGAAGCGGATAACAAAGGACAGCAAAGATCTCTCGTTCACGGACGATCACTGTCTGTACATGATGTTCCCGGTCAAGGGGGGTATATTCAATCCGATCAATAAGAAGATCCGGAAGCACGACGCGAAGCCGGTCGTTTCGTCCGACAGGATATGCATCAAATCCTGTGGCATTGAAGGTATTGATTAACATTTTTACGTTACGACGTGATTATTCAATGTATCATTGTTTAATTAAATTATTATTACGCAGTTTCTCGTTATCTTATTTTTAAAATGATTACGATTGCTATTTAATTAATTAGCCAACGAAAAATTATTCCATATAATAATTGTATATTTATTTTGCCAAAATGTTTTATATTATTGTTAAGAATATTATTCGATTGCTCACTTAGAAATTGAAGATCAAACCACGCCCGCACCACCAAGATTACATTATGATATCGAAGTCAAACTCGTTAACTTGGGTGATGGATTTATGGCGCCCACACCCGACAGTCCCGACTTTGAAGTGATCTCAAACAGGATATCGGAGAGCTTCGGACCAGTCTTCGAGAAGCTTCCAGGCTACTATCAAGTTCGACTTGACGAATTACGAAAGTAAGATAAAGCATGATAGTAAAAAAAAAAAAATAAAACAGCCAAAAAGTGCGACACTTGAAAATATGTCATTCCCGTTCGTTCTCTAGGGACAACGAGCAAGGAGTGATTGCGCGCATGAATCTAATCCTCGACAAGAACGAGGCCAAGGGCAGGTCCTTGAAACCTGCGGACACTGGCCTAGAGGCAGAAAAAGCGTTGCGCGAGGCACTCGTGACCGGCAAGGTCGGAGCACTCAGCGTCGACCCGCAGTACTTAATTGTCAGGGCACCCCGAGGTAAGCGATGAATTTTTAAACATCATACATTAATCGACATGAAACTTCCTTTTTTTCTCAATAAATTTTCTATCTCAAATTGACACTCGAGAGCCCGTGTATCTCTGATAATTGTTTTAAAAGTTTCAAGAATTATACAGTTCGATATTACATAACTTTAAATACCGTCGTTCATTCGAATGTTAATCATCTCCGGCAATATTTCGAGTTTCAAGATAGAAATTTGCATTACATTTACTTTCAGTGAACGACATAGAAACCGAAGACGAGTACGATCGATCACCTTCCGCGACGGACTTGTTCCTAGGCGCAACGAAACTTTATATCGTCGTTGGTTGCGTGGCAGCATTGCTGGCCCTCGCTCTTCTTCAGGCCAGTTGTACTCTGTACAGGAGCTCGAAGAGACGAGCAACTAAGGTATGTTCTATATGTGATTAGTTAGAACGTACTTCTTGTTCTTCTTCACGTGTTTTTTTTTCTCTCTTCACTGTTTTCTCGCATCTTCAGATCTTTCTCTTGAGTGTTTTGTTCTATTCCCCACCTCTAACGAATTTGTGATTCTTAACGTGTTCCAAGAAAAATGTTCTCGTAGAAAATAAATATAATTTTGATAAAACTCTTGCGCCTGTCATAGCAACTATTAACTAAATAACTGTAATATCATACAGATCTAATCAACAAATCTAATGAGTAATTGGAATAACTCGATGTTGAACGAATCCGAGATCGAGTCGTAAAATCATGAGGAAAAAAAAAAGATCATAATTTGAGATTTAAGATTTGAGCCGGATTTTTTTTCCTCTTTTACCTCGCAAAAATAATATGAAAAGTTAGTTTGCCTTCTTGGAACACTCTGTAGTGTAAAAGACTACGCTTCCGCTCCCTAATGAACCCGAAACATCTTTTTTGCTTCGCTTGTGTTGCATGACTCGCGCTCCCCGCGACCAAAAAAGAGGGTGTACTCGCTGCCTTTGGCTTCCTCCGACGCGTTCAACCCGATTCATCGCACGAACGCGACTCGATTTCATCGACAACAAAATGGCGATCATCACCATCATCACAACAACAACAACCATCATCATCACCATCATCATCATCAGCTTCGGCATCACTACGTCCCACCCGAAATGCATCGGACTAATCCCAGCTGGTAGAGCTTCTCGTCAAGTGCATAATCGGTGCGCAATGTCACACTCGTTTCACGTTCTTTCCCTCTAATCCAAGTACCTGGCTAACACTCTCTCTTATCTGGCTTTTTCTTACTCTCTAATCGCATCCAATCGCATCTAATCGTTTTCATACCTTCACACATGAACTGTCACTTTTTCTGTTTGATTTTTCCTTCTTTCTAATATGGGATGGTTAAATTAACTTGTTTCCATTTTTTTTAAATATATGTATCAATACAAAATATATGAGATGATAATTTCCAAGAAAGTAACAAGACATGATTTTAGAGAAAATAATAAAAAAATGAAATTCTTCGCATTCTAAATATATTATTCTTTTCTTCAATAGGAGCGATTGATCGCCAGCAACGCCTGGAAGGATTATGCTTCCGGTGCAAACACCAACTTCGCCTTCGAGGCGTTCGAGACGGAGGAGAAAGCGCCACCGCCGCCGATTTCCAGCCTGCCGAGACCCAGGGAGATGACCGGCAATGGCACGAATGGCATAAACGGTATCGATGCTGTCGAGGGACCTAATAGGCTAGTGGGACCCAGAGCAACCTACAGTCTGCCACGTGCACCCGGTGCCAGACACTCGGCGCCTATCCAGCATGGTTATTACACCCAGGACCGCAGAGACCATTATGGACGTCCTAAGAGCATGCATAATCCAGCGGGCATGGCCCAAGCGAACCAACCGGACTTCTACTTCATGCCCAGTCAGCGAAAATACAGCGGCGAGGTCGTGCGCGTCTACGTGGATTACGGTAGCCAGATGCCGAAATAAACAAGGGGAGAAGTTCGAGTCGCGAGAACAATTTATCCGCTTCACCGAAGCGATCTGTACATATTCGAGTTGTAGTGACAGAGGACGCGGAGAAAGAACTACGCAGCCCCTGTGCGGTGCTATTTTGTCTCTGTTTTTTTTTCCCTTCCTTTTCCCGCGATTTTCTTTTTTCGAGGTCCCGTCTGAATCGATAGATTTCAGGGATTAAAGGGAAAGGAAATCGCTCCGCATGGAAGCATAGAAGTGGCACTTACGACCAAAGAAGATATCCGTAGGGCGCGCGCCCTATAGTTCTGTACAGAGCGCATGAACTCTCATTAGACTTTTGTGCTTTTACGCGCGCAGAAACTGTTTAATTATAAGTGGAGAAACTATTTAATTATAAGTAAATCTTATAGTAGCCGAGAATTTGACAGTCCGAGGATCCCTGGGTCCCAGCTATGAATCTTGTAATCTATGTATTCGAAGATTTAAAAAAAGACCCATCTTATAATTTAATATCAAGAAAATAAGACTCGCGATTAAAAAGAACGAGACTCAACTATCTTGAAATTCAAGAATTCCGCACTATCTTGCTCGATGTATGCATCTGTTTATATTACGCAAAGTATCGATACGCTCGATGGATGCGTCAGCAGTTAAAGAGTAAGCACGAATGTGCGTTTGAACAATAAAATATTTGTACATTTTTAAATGGAGTTGACGCGTCCTGTGTTTCTTTAATGGTTTACCTTAATCTTCAAAGTGCTACTTTCATACTATTTCACTTATCGGTATAATTGGTCTATCAATGTTCAAAGAATATCAGGAGAAAGTGGCAAAGCGAAGAACCTGCGAAATATTTAGCGATCGTTAATCATAATCATAATCGTTATGGATAAAAAGTGTAATGCCTATGACAATGACGATACTATCGATATAGAGAATCGTGTTGGTACGGATTATAAATTATTACAATAGAGTGATAAAATTAACGATATAATACTTGTAATAATCATAATAACGATAGATGTAGCAGCAGTAGTAACGATGGCAATAACATTACAGTATTAATTACATTAATGTCATTAACAACGGCGTCGCGTGCAGCCAGACTTCCGGGATATCTTCACGAGCGATGGAATATAAGGCGACGCCAAAGATAAGCTCTCCCGCTCTCTCTCTCTCTCTTTCTCTCTCTCTCTCTCTCTCTCTCTCTTTCTCTCTCTCAATCTCTCTTTCTTGCAATCTCTAAAAGTACGCGAGCATATATCCGGAAGTCAATTGTGGCACGCACTGTCCGCGTTCCTATTATTACATAACTAGCATCGAGCACATATTTTCGGCTCTACCATAAAGTTTTCTTTTTTTTGTTTCTTCGGTCACACGTGCGAAGTTTGAGAAACGAGTTCTACGCGAATCTAATATGCCTGTGGCGTGCCCGACGAGTGCGAGTGCAGATACCGCGCGAAGCAATGGGACGATGCGCACGATCGAATTACGATGTTCGTCGGAACGCATTCTGAAGCGCTTTGTAGGAAATTATATGTAATTGCGCGCGTACTCGCGCTCAGCGGGCACGCTATTTTATCTCTGCTTATTTGTTTCATTTTCAATCTATCGGTCTGTTTTCTTGTTAGCTTTTTCACTCATACATACATTATTTTTCTTTCTCTCCCTCTCTCTCACTCTCTATCCCCTCGCACACATTATCGTGTCATCATCGGCATTTGTACATTAACTCAACACATCTCTCTCTCTCTCTCTCTCTCTCTCTCTCTCTCTCTCTCCTTCTTTCTGTCAATCAAAGCGGTGTAATTAAAGAATACGAACAGGCGAACATCTGATAAATGGAGTGAACACCGTAATAAGGCTTAATTTAATTTGTTAGTAACTTGTGTGATCCTGCTCTGCACGCGTTTGCTGCACAAGCCTGTTTTCACACAGGTGCGCACTATGAATGGCCCATTCAAGCCCGCTGATGTCCATTTTGCAGTGTTTATCCCACATTTGTGACGACACATCTCTCATTCAAAAGCCATGTTCCGTTGTTTTTACAGATTTTCATTATAGCACTCTACACATGACGACCCGTTCTTCCGCTTCTATCGCATCGCTCTAATTCATGTATTTGCTATCTCACTTTCTCTGCCTGACGTCAGATTCCTTGTTGGGCGTCGGTTTACTATAAATTCAATAAGAATAGAATATCAGACAAATAGTAGCTACGGACAAAAATTTATAAAATATTTTCATTGATATAAAATTCACATCTTGTAAGTTATATACACAAACCCTAGAAGCTTATAACTATAAGGGAGCGGAGTAAGACTGAAGTGGAATAAGGTAAATAATCTTCATCTGCGTTTTTTTTTCGTAAACAATCGAAATAAATAATTTAGCCAAGCTGGAGCTGATTTTGAAGTACGATGTTTCTGAATCTTATCCGAAGTAGGTTTGAAGTGAACACTCTTAACAGGTCGGAACTGCGGTAACGGAGGTAAATCAGGTGGGAGAGGTCCGTGTAAAGGAACATGCCATTCCAAGGGTCCATCAACGGGAATAATTTCCAAGGGTTCAATGGGTTCATCATGTTCCAAGATAAGACTACATCGAGCAGAGGATATAAAGTCGTAACTCCATCGTACATTTCGTAAAATATTAGAATTCCATAATCAAATGGGATATAGTAATTTCAAAACACACTTACGTATCAGGGCTCTGATCAGTATCGGATTCCTCGAGTTCGGCTTTGTTCCGCTTCTTCTCGTACACTAGAATAATGGCGCATAGAACAACGACTTCCACACAGATGCCTAGGAATGGCCAGAGTGCGGCGAGCTTGTCCTTAACCCTGAGGAATGTCTTGGCCTCCGATGTGTGTTCCAATACAGGATCGGACCAGTTGAACGACATCCTACAGAAAACATGACCGCGATCATTCATCTGAATGTTTTCGACAATCAGGACGGCATCGTAGATTCCCCTCTCCTTGTCCTTGGTGATCTTCACACGATCCATGCTGCGCGTGTAATTCTGATCCCCGAATGTCCAGGATACTTTTACGCCGCGGAGTTGGCTGGGGTCCTGCTTACTGCCGCATATCAAGTGCAGCGGTTCGCCTTCTACCACGGTGGTAGATTCAGCCAGATGCGCCACTGGCCTTGCTGAAATTTCAGTGCATTAAGTGTGAGTGTGAAAAATTCTTTTCAATCCGTCAAAAAACGTTTCTTTTTTTTTCTATAAAATAAACATCTTAATTGCAATGACTAAAATATACATAATCCTTATCACATGAACAGATTACTTCTAATAATTTGCTTTTTTTTTTATTATAAATCTAAAAATATTGTGCCGGAGTACTCACGTAGGACTTTGTACTCGACCGTGGAGTTGGCCATGTTACAAGTGTAATTTCCATAAACCTGCTCCTTATCCTTTAAGATCTCCAGATTACCAGTCTCGTTATTAATCTTGAAGGCATCCTCGTGACCAGCAAGTGCGGTGATCACCGGTACCTTCTCCTTCAGCCATTTATCGCTGGTGCTTCTGTTTGCGCATTCAAGAATCAAAGGTATGTCCTTGGGCGTAAGTACTCTAATCTTAATATCTGCGTCAAACAAGAAGATGTTGTTTCTCGGTGCTGTACGTTTAAATATAACTCGCAGCATTAAATGCATAATCGCGGGAAAATTAATGCACGTACAGATTTTTTTCGTCTCGTGACAAGACTTTAAAGACGATCATTAAAATTCTCCCCTTATCTCCTTTTTTGTTTAAAACAATGAAGGAATTGATTTATAACTTTATCATAAATTACTCAAGTATCATAATGCGTGAGTGACGAGGCAACTGCAGTTATATTTTTAGAACGTCGTCCTAAATATCCTATAATGATAGCTAAGAAACGCGACAATTGAACAGACGATTAATTCGTATATTCCGCTTTCGTAAAAGTTCATTCACTTCTACGCGAATTGCATTCGAGTTAAATACGTATAAAATAACTTTTCCGATTTTCAAACATAAGACATTCGTCACATTATTTCAGTAATCAGAATTCAAATATTTGTAGAGTAAAATAAAACAAATCGATTATCTTACACGATTAGAGACATGTGATTAATATCATAATATTTAATAAATTAATGATAATTGTAATAATTTCACAATTTATATTTCAAATATCATACATTATATATCCACGAAATGGATTATTAATTACTAATGAATTTCAAGAACGATTTTAATGTAATAATAATGATATATCATTATTATTATTATTACATAAAAAGCATAAAGCTTTCATATTCTTAATTCTCGCATAGACAATAGTTAATGTTTTATATAATACGTTCGCTCTGACGAGAAATAGTGTAATAAATATTAATAACCGCGTGTCGGAAATACATTTTCACATTCAGAGAGAAGGAAACCGGGTAAAATAATCTTGCGCGTGCTATAAAACAATATCTGGGTCTTTATTCCAGGCAGCGTATCAGTTATCAAATATTATCACACGAGAAAAGATTTCAGATATAAATCACATATCTCTGTGAAGGTAAATACTTGACTTCTTAATTTAATCGATAATCGATATTTCGCGGCTTATCAGGCCCGAGGGATCTTAGGCGTGTATTTTGCGTAGTGTGTAATAAACATGATAATAAAATATTAAGTTTCTCGTTTAACGATCACCAGAAGTACGCTAATCTTCGTAATGGAAACAGTGACAAACAGCACGTCACGTGCTGTCGCGCAGAGGGAAAAATTACGTAAATTACGAAAAACCGTCTCTCATCTCGCAATGGAATTTTTTTGCCGGCAGATCCCTCGGATGGTTAGAATTTCGGTTTATTAACGCGAAGTTTCGTAAGGTTACGAACCGAAATATATCGAGAGGTGGAAAAACTCCGAACTGTCGGGGGTGCATTTGTAGTCTCCATCGTGGTTCTCGGTCGCCTGCTTCGCCGAGAGCTTGCTGGTGCCGGTTTCGGGTATCGAGGTGACGACCAGCTGACCACTGGACAACTCAGGTTCCAGGGTCTGGCCATTCCTGGTCCACCTAATGAGATCATCCTTCTTCAAACCGTTGCACTCGATGTCCCACGGTTTTCCCTCGTGCACAACCGATGGCCCGTCATACTTCATCTCTGTAGAAAAAAAAAGAAAAAACATTCAAATATATATATATATAT